TTGTAATAGCAATTCACCGGGCCTAAAGGTGCTCGAATTAACTCGCTATTCATACTCTAAATATTTGTCTCTTTTTTTTCCCTCTCTTTTTCTCAAGGGTTTTTCTTCATTTCTTTAATACTATTCTAATTATGTTCCAGCTGAGCAAAGGTGAAGGGATAGAGAGTAGAACACCGATGAGAGAGAACATCGATCAGCTGCCTCCTGCACACCTCCTGCTGGGGATGTGCCCGCAACCAAGGTACATGCCCTTGACCGGAATCAAACCTTGGACTCTCGGTCCGCAGGTCGACACTCTATCCACTGCGCCCAACCGGCTAGGGCACTTTAAATATTTTTTTACAATTAGTTTTTAAATTATTATTTTTTGTTTCTTAGATATATGCATTCCATTATTTGAGCCTTAAACACAATGCAAACAGTTCTGAATGCTCTGCTCTGCATACAAAAGCCTCTAGGACCTTATAGAATCTGATTAATAGTTATAATCTCTTCAAGTCAGCGATTGTTGTATTGGACTTCATGTCATCAACTGCTAGCACAGTGCCTGTACTGCAGTTAGTTTTCAATAAGTGTTTTGTTTGTTTTTTTAAATATATTTTTTTATTGATTTTTTACAGAGAGGAAAGGAGAGGGATAGAGAGTTAGAAACATCGATGAGAGAGAAACATCGACCAGCTGCCTCCTGCACACCCCCTACTGGGAATGTGCCCGCAACCAAGGTACATGCCCTTGACCGGAATCGAACCTGGGACCCTTGAGTCCGCAGGCTGGCGCTCTATCCACTGAGCCAAACCGGTTAGGGCTTCAATAAATGTTTTTAAAAGGAAGTATAAATGACAATAATGATTATAAAAACCCAATAAACAAATAAATCAAACTGGTCTCCTTACCTGCCTTTTTTTTCCCCTTTTGACCTGGAACTGGTTCTACGCCATCTTGGCCTTTCCTCATTAACATGGCAAGTGATGCATCATGAGCTCTGAACAGGTCCACCACCTCATGTAAGGCAACATCTGTTATTAGGTCACAGCTCAGGACCAGTACGTCTGTCTGTCAAATGGAAAAGGGGAAAGTCAGTATCACAAAGGACAATGGATCACCCAAATCAGTAAAAATTACAGTGGCTTAGAAACATTGTAAAGATTGTATGTGTGGATGACAGTGGGCAGGACAAGGAGCAGGGGGTGGCTAAGAAAGAAAGAGATAATAGCACTCTTCAAATACTTGACAGTCTTCAGGAAGAACCAAATTTTACCTGAATAGCCCAAGACCAAAACTAAGAACAAACAGGTAAAATATGAACAGAAGTATTTTTGGTTTTCATATTAACTTGTGTCTGTTAATCAGAGCTAGTCAAAAAAGAATAATTTTGCCCTAACCGGTTTGGCTCAGTGGATAGAGCGCCAGCCTGCGGACTCAAGGGTCCCAGGTTCGATTCCGGTCAAGGGAATGTACCTTGGTTGCGGGCACATCCCCAGTAGGGGGTATGCAGGAGGCAGCTGATTGATGTTTCTCTCATCGATGTTTCTAACTCTCTATCCCTCTCCCTTCCTCTCTGTAAAAAATAAATAAAATATATTTTTTTTAAAAAAAGGAAAAAAAAAGAATAATTTTGTTAGGAAATGAATCATTAGAAATGCTTGGGCAGAACCTGGATTATTGCTTGTAGTGATTCATTTATCTAACACTTACTGAGCACTTACTCTATGCTCAACCAAGTCCTATTCTGGAACTTGGAGGAAACTTGGACTGTGTATGTGCCATCAGTTGGCTCAGACTCCTATGAATGAGTGCTGTCCACAATGTCCTGTCCTCAATATCCCTGCTCAGCTCCTTTCGACGCATGCCTATGGCTTCCTTATGGAGTCAATCCATCTCATATTTGGTCTTTCTCTTTTCCTGATACCTTCTATTTTTCCTAGCCTTTTCCTAAAAACCCTGCCTTTTCATGATGAGCCTGAAGTAGGACAGCTTCAGTTTTGTCAGTTTTGCTTTCAGCAATGTTACAGGTTTAATTTGCTCTAGGACCCACTTGTTTGTTTTTCTGGTGTCCAGGGTATCCATAGCGCTCTTCTCTAACTCCATATTTCAAATGAATAGCTTTTTTTCCCTATCAGCCTTCTTCACTGTCCAACTTTTGTATCTATACATAGTAATTAGGAATACAAGGGTGCAGATAATCTTATCCTTGGTTTCTAATGACAAATCATCACTTTTGGTGATCTTTCTGGGACTAGAAAGTATTAAATGTGACAGGCTAAGAAAAGCTATTGATATATTTTAAACAAATTTCTACCTATACATTCTGTCATATTTTACCATAAATACAGAAAACAAGTCCAAAAATAATGAATTGGAAAACAAAATTCCTTAAGTTGCAATTTAAATCAACTACATCAATGTTTCTCAATAACACACCTACAGTTTCCCAGAGGTACCTCAGAGAAAGGTTGTTTGCTACTGCCCTTTCTGAGTCAACCAAGGCAGCTCCTCTTTTATTAATTTTATTGTCTAGGCTTCTGTATAAGCTTTGGTTTGGAAAACAGGTTCTGCTACTTTTAAAAGTCTGAAAAACATTGTACTAAATTATCCCAGATTTAAAAATAAAGTGAATATCTGTATTCATGGAAATTTTTCTAAGTGGTTCCAACTTTTCTAAGATTTTAATTTAAAATCAAGTTTCTGTGGGTGGGAAAATGGATGATTTAAACTCATATTCTACTACAGCAAAGGGTTGTGTTTGCTCAGAAAGCAAGGCTCAATGTTTAGGATGCCTTGTCTTACTGCCTGAAATTTCTTATTCTGAATACACATGCTCCTCAACTTAGGATGGATGGGGTTATGTCCTAATAACCCCATCGTAAGTTGAAAATATCATTAAGTTGAATATACATTTAATGCACCTAACCTACTGAACATTATAGTTTAGCCTAGCCTACCTTAAACTTGCTCAGAACACTATATCCAAAAAACACTGGTAACAGTACACTACAGAGTATTAGTTATTTGCCTTCGTAACTGCATGCCTGACTGGGAGCTGTGGCTCACTGCCCCGGCCCAGCATCATGAGAGAGTATCATACTGCATATCACTAGCCGAGGAAAAGATCAAAATTCAAAATTCTAAGTACAGTTTTTACTGAATGCTTATTGCTTTAGCACCAATGTAAAGTTGAAAAAATCATAAGAGAAATCATCATAAGTCAGGGACCATCTGTATAGAATCTGTACCAGAACCATCATTTCTTTTCCTACATATAACTTATTATTTACAGCCTAAACAATACCTTTTGAAGGCCTTATCTTAAGATTAAGAAGTTCAAATTTGGATGTTTTTTCTACCTTTCTGCTTCTCTCTTAATTCTTAATTCTGAATTTTTTAAAAAAGAAGTCCCTAAAAACATTTTTTAAGGGAAAAAAATTGCTATGCTCACCATCCAGGAACTACCAAATATTAATAAATCAGCCCACATACATGCAAGCTAAGGAAGAAATAGCCTGAAGAATCATACTTATTTATTTTAAAATATATTTTTATTGATTTCAGAGAGGAAGGGAGAGGGAGAGATAGAAACATCAATGATGAGAGAGAATCACTGATTGGCTGCCTCCTGCGTGCCCTCCACTGGGGATCGAGCCCACAACTCGGGCATGTGCCCTTGACCGAAATTGAACCCGGGATCCTTCAGTCCATAGGCTGATGCTCTATCCACTGAGCCAAACCAGCTAGGGCGAATCCTACTTCTTATAACAATGCTTAGAAAGACAGAGAGCTGGGCCATTACTAAAGACATGTCATTACAGAAGTTGCTCCATCCTATATAATAAAAGGCTAATATGCAAATAGTCCGAACGATGGAACAACAGGAACAACCGAACCATGACGTGCGCTGACCGCCAGGGGATGTGAGCGGAACATGGCGGGTGTTGGCTGCGGCAGGATGGTGGAGCAGATGAGCAGGGGCGCAAGACCAAAGCAGGATGCTGGTCGCTGTCATCAGGGCAAGCCTCTGGTGGTTACTGAAAATTCTTTGCTCCTGTGCACCGCAGTCCCGCCTGGTGCTCGCACCTGCTGCTGGCCCTGCTCACACCCACTGCCAGCGCTGGAACTGCTGCTCGCACACACTGCCAGCACCGGCCTCGCTTGCACCTGCTGCCAGTGCCCGGCGATGGTCCCGATCGCTTGGCGCCATCAGCGGGTGCGAGTGGCCCTGATCGCCCCTGAGGGCTTCTCCACCTCCTCCTGCTCCTGAGGGGTGATCAGGGCAGCAGCTGCCAATCGCTCTGCACCTTCAGCGGGTGCGAGTGTGGGTGCGAGCGTGGCTGGCGCCATCAGTGTGTGGGAGCGACGGTGGCGGGAGCGGGGTTGCCGAAAATAGGGGACTAGGGCCCGCGGCGGGAAGGGCTGGGTGGTGGCAAGGAGGATGGTCTGAGACCTGCCCCTGTGCCTACTGCAGCCTCTTGGCCCACAGTTCCTTTCGAGGTACACGAATTCCTGCACTGGGCCCCTAGTTTCATTATAATGAAAATGACAGTTTGCCAAGGGAAGAAAAGCTTTCTATTTTTCTAAGCTTCTCTAATAAGATGATTGAGATTTGCAAGCTGACTGTTCTTCAATAAATTCAATTTTAAAGTATACTCCAAAGTGAAGAAAATGACACCAATGCAGATGCCTCTTAATGGTGTCAATGTTGTCTTGGAAAATGACTGCTGTTATAATTCAATATCTGCAAAAAATTAATCTGTCAGTATAGTGAATGCCAAACAAGTCCTGCATAATTGTGAATAGTCCACAAACTCACATTTCTCTTTGCTTTTAGATGACTTTTTGCTAAACTGAATGCAAAATCCCCAAGGAATATAAGGAACAGGCCCCTCCTCCCAATGTTTGGTTGCCATCTGTTCTCAGTGCGAAAAGACAGGCATTGGTCTGAAAGGTCAGGGTCTGGGATACAGATGGAGTGCTACCCCTCAGGCCCTCTCCTGCCGTACAAGAATGCACCATGTAAGACTCGCTGAGACCAAACAATTCCCATTCTCTTCCAAAGGAAAGTCTTTGCTATCTGATCAATGTACTTTGTTTCCAAAGCTGTAAATCCTAGAAGAAGAAATAAAAGTCTAAAAGGAAAACTAAATAATCTTCACATCTTTGTAATACTATCCATTTTCCTTTACATTTTTATAAGTCAGCGATTTTCAACCAGTGTGCCACAAGAGACACATCAATGTGCTGCAAGAATTTTTAAAGCATGCAATACCTTACTATTTAGTCATGGGCACTGACCTCTTCTCCCTTAGATTGGCAAATTTAAAAAATGACAATAGCCGTCTGCTGTGAATGAATCAAAATTATACCTATTTTCTTTTGTCAGATTGGCAAAAAAAATAATATACTTTTTTGATGTGCCACAGAATTTCAGTAATTAGTTTATGTGTGGATGAGATGAAAAATGTTGAAAATCAGTTATAAGCTACAAGAGAAAGAACTTACTATTGTTTTGATTTTTATTCTACAAATGTAAAGCCCAGTGTAGAAATGCAAATGTTCTTCTACTAACTGGAGTCCAGAGAGAAAAAGCTGAAAAACTGTTAAGAACCAGAAGTGTTTCTGATCATGTGTGACCACAGCAATGAATAAACAGACTGTTTGGACTGTAAAGCAACTGTACAGTATATCTGAAATGCAATTAACTTGAAAGTGCCCCAGACACACTGGCCCCCAGCTGCCTTGTGTTTGGGGAGACCACTTCTTTTCTAACACCAGCTGTATGCCTCTTCTTCTGCAGAGCCCAACTGGAATCCCCACAGACCTCCCTACTCACTATTTTAATAGTCCTCAGTATGCTTTACCCCAAGCTTGCTCCTCTAGAGAAGCCAAGGCAGTGTCAAGGGCGGAAAGCACAGCTCTAAAGGACAGCAAATGTGTGTATTTGTGACAAAGTGGAAACATACAAGGTCTTCAAGGGAAGGCGGAAGACAGCACTTTAGTGTTTGGGGAAAATCAAGACACCCAGGAATTCAAATCTAAACTGCTGCCAGTTAGTCTTGGCT